TTTTTTTTTTTTTTTTGGTACCAGGGATTGAACTAAGAACCTTGCGCTTGTGAGGCAGGTGGCGGCACCACTTAGCTAAATCCCGGCCTTCTTCAAGCATTTTTGATCCAGAGTTGTTCAAATCACAGATGTAGAACTGAGGATGTGCAGAGCCAAGTGCTAGGTGGTAAGAACTATGCCAAGGAGTTCTGGGCAGGAAGCAGAGACCACTGTAGCCATTGTAAACAGCGAGGGCTTTGATTTGGGAACTAGGTGACAAAACCACTGGAAGGCCTATAGGACTGGAAGTCAGGAGATCCCAACTAGACTTGGCTCCTGGGTGAGCTGCAGCTGCTGTTAGTGCTATGACCATGTGTAACACATGTAGCCTCAAGTGAATGCAGTACCATTGACTGCAGTAGATGGGGACTGAAGGCAAGATATGAAGGACTGGGCCAGGCATGGTACACATCTATAATCCCAATGCTTAGGAGGCAGAGGCAGGAGGATTGCTGCAAGTTTGAGGCAAGCCTGAACTATAGAATAAGACCCTGTTTCAAAAAAAAAGATATGAATGAATAAAATATAGTGACTGGGTGGTAGCATTGATGCATTTCAGTGTTTATTTAGATATATAGATTTTTGAGTAGAGTACAGGCTATATCCTTGATAATCTGTCCCACAGTCAGGAGGTGCAAAGGGTCAGCAGAATGCTGGGTACCACAGTTTTGGAGTTGGATATGTCAGAGGTAGAACCACAAAGGGATTTCCCAAGTAAGGATGGCTTATTGAGGTAACTGGGATCAGGAGTGTGGGCAGAAGAAACAGTTGAATCCTCCATGTGCTTCAGTAGCTACCTGTTAACAAAGGGAAAAAACAATCTTCTTGTTTCAGATTCTGCTGCAGAATGAGATGGTGATGAGAAGGTGACTCCAAAACTTGAATTTCTGAGGATGAAGATTCCCATAAAATGATGTCAGACAGACTCTCAGTAATGGAGCACACCACCTCTGAGTCTAGGGAAGTCCATGAAACCAGATTAGGGCAGCTGTTGGGAAACCCAGAAGGACAGAGCCTAGGGAGTCCCCCCTCTCAGGATGATGGCTTCAAGCAAGTCACAGTGACCCACTGGAAAATCCAAACAGGAGAAACAGCCCAGACATGTAGTAAGCCAGGGAGAAACCCTATTCTGAACCCAAATCTTCTTATACTTCAAAGAGAGCTTATAGAGGGGGAGGCCCATCCTGGTGGTATTTGTGGTAAAAGCTTCCCATTTAGTTCAGACCTAGTTAGACATCAGATTTCTCATACTGGAGAGAAGCCTTATAAATGTGAGGATTGTGGAAAAGACTTTAGTCAGACCTCACACCTGGCAGAGCACCAGAGAGCCCACACTGGAAACAGGTTGTATGTGTGCAATGTGTGTGGGAAAGACTTCATTCACTACACAAACCTTGCTGAGCACCAGCAGGTGCATACGGGAGAAAAGCCATTCCGGTGTGTTCAGTGCGGGAAAGCATTTTGTCACAGTTCAGACCTGCTTCGGCACCAGAGAGTACACACTAGAGAAAGGCCCTTTGAGTGCAAAGAGTGTGGGAAAGGCTTTAGTCAGAGCTCCTTACTCATTCGCCATCAGAGAATTCACACAGGTGAAAGACCTTATGAGTGTAATGAGTGTGGGAAATCCTTTATCAGGAGCTCCAGCCTTATTCGGCATTACCAAATCCACACAGAAGTGAAGCAGTATGAGTGTAAGGACTGCGGAAAGGCCTTCCGCCACCGCTCAGATCTTGTTGAACACCAGAGGATTCATACCGGGGAGAGACCTTTCGAGTGTAATGAATGTGGGAAGGCTTTTATTCGCAGTTCAAAGCTTATTCAGCATCAGAGAATTCACACTGGAGAGCGGCCCTATGTCTGCAATGAGTGTGGGAAACGCTTTAGCCAGACATCCAACTTCACTCAACATCAGAGAATTCACACTGGAGAGAAATTGTATGAGTGTGATGAATGTGGGAAGGCCTTCTTCTTGAGCTCATATCTTATCCGGCACCAGAAAATCCACACTGGAGAGCGGGTGTATGAATGTAAAGAATGTGGAAAGGCTTTTCTGCAGAAAGCCCACCTCACGGAGCATCAGAAGATTCACACTGGGGACCGACCCTTTGAGTGCAAAGACTGCGGGAAAGCCTTCATCCAGAGCTCTAAGCTGCTGCTGCACCAGATTGTGCACACTGGGGAAAAGCCCTATGTGTGCAGTTTCTGTGGGAAAGGCTTCATCCAGAGGTCAAACTTCCTCCAACACCAGAAGATGCACACTGAAGAGAGGCTATACGAGTGTAGTCAGCTTGAGGAAGGTTGTACACCACCCCCTGACTTTATCCACCAGGAGGGCCTTTCCCTGAGTGAGACTCCTACATGTTTAGGCGAGAGGTCCACAGGGCAGGAGGGTCATATGGATAATTTATGATCACTGACTCAGAGAGTGGTATTTGGAGATGGGTAGAATTAGGGTTCTTATGGCTTCTAGGCTTTGGACGTGTCAGTTTCCTGAATCATGGAGGGGCATGTTTGGAGTGGCCTGCTTCCTGCTACTGGACAGCTGGCCTGGAGCTGGAACGGGTTGGGGTAGAAAAGATTCCTAGATTTTATTCACAAAATACAACCCACTCTTAAGTTCAATCCTTTCAAAGCAGAGCTGTGAATTTAATCTTATTACTGAAAGAGGCTTGCATATTAAAGGCTTGAGAAAGATTTTCTCATGCAAAACCCCTAGTGGGTTTCCTGTTGTCCTGGGGATGACCGCCGAACCCTCATGTCCCATGTCCTAAGGTTTTTATCTCCTTGACTACTTAGTTCCCGGCCACAGTTGGTATGTCCCACTTCTCACTCCACATTGTTCTGCTGTGCTGTGCTCCAACTCATCTCGCAAGGTTCAGGCATCATGTCAAGGAACATTTCCCTTGCACTGAGCAAGTTTTCCATGCTTTCAAGGCTCAGTGCTTATCTGTTGTTATTGAGTTATGAATTATTAATCACAGTTCCTTGATAGTGATCGTGTCTGACTGATTCATACATCCCCGATGCCTAGTGTACAGCCATAAAAAACACCACCACATCTGTGTAATTCGCAGCTCTTTTTGTCCTTTCAGTATTGCTATTTTAAAATTTTGGAATGTTTTTCTTTGTGTCATTATGATCTATTCTATTGGACATAGCTTCTCTCCTAGACCTCTTTCTGCCTTCTGCTCCTGCCTGAGAGTTGCTGAATCACCTGTCTGTATTGGCTCCTCCCATTGCTGCCTCATCTGGAGCTGCCTGCTGTCCTGAGTGCCCCCAAGCACTCAAAGGGTGCACAGCCCCAGTGTACTGCACATCTTTGTTCTAGCTCAGCATGTCTTAATCACTTTTCTTGTCAGTGAGACATAATAGCTGATAACCACAATTTAAAGGTGGAAAGGTTTATTTTGGCTCACATTTTCAGAAGTTTCAGTCCATGTTCCACAGGCTCCAAGGAAGAAATGGTATATGGTAGAGGGACTTAGAGGAGGAAAATCGTTTATGTCATAGAGGCCAAAAAGCAGGGAGGAGCCAGCAAGGGTGATAACATCCTTCCATGTTTGTCCCCAGTGATCTGCCTTTAATTGGGCCCCAATTCCTAACACCATACTCAGCTGCTGAACTTATTAATGGATAAATCCCCTGAAGAGGATAGCAGCCCCATTTTCCAGTCCCCTTCCCAAAGCCCCACCACTCAGCACATGAGAATTTTGGAGGATATTTTAGATCTAGACCATAATACAGCAGCTCCAAGATTGACTCAGCTCTTGACAGTTGCTTGCCCTCTGGCTCACATTATCACTTATTTGAAAATGTACTGTGTTGAGATCTATAAGGAATAGTTCTGGATATTGGTAGAGCAAGAATAAGAGACCATCTGCCCTGCAGTGGTGGAGAATATAGTGTGGAAGCTGTGATGGCATGGTGATTGAAGTGCCAGGATAGATGGAATGTTAGGAGTGGCGCGGCAGTTCTGCGAAGACTTCAGCAGAGGTGAAACTAAATGGCTCAGAGGCCAGTGGGTGCTTTTCCACCAGAGGAGAAGGGATGATCTAGGAGAGGAAGCTCCTCAGACACAGGCAGGCTCAACAAGCTGCGGCTTGGCAGCCTTCCCTGTGGCAGCTTTGGCATATGGGAAAGTTCTTTCAGCAGAACTGCTCACCCTGGCCTTTCATTGTCTTTCATATGAATGTTAAGCAACTAGCTTTGAGATTATTTTTTTTTAATTACTTCTTTTGTCCATGAATCATATTTTGAGTTCCCAATAACTCTTGAGGGAACAGATAATTCAAAAGTCCGTACATTATCCACTTTCTGAAAAATCTACTAGAGATGTTTCAGATGGTATAACAGTAGGTGTTAAGAGAACAAACAATAAAATGCCTACTATTAAGTGTACAGAGCTTTGGAAAATACCTACAGCTGTGTACCCACCAACCATAGTTGAGATAAATTTCTTTTACCTAAAAGTTTTCTTTCCCTTTCCTTTCAGCCCAACCCCAGTAACCACTTTGTGCCAGTGTAAATTAATGTTTGTCCTAGAACCACACAAATGTGGACTCGTGTACTCAATAGTGTCTGACTTCAGTCCCTTCAACATGGCTTTAGGTTCAACCACATTTTGTGTTTTGGTAGTTCTCTTTGCTGACTAATGTCGCACTGTATAGAGAAATCATTTGTTATTCATTCATCTGTTCATGGAAGTATGCTTTTCCAGCTTTGACTCTGAAGAGTAAAATTTGCTGGTGTTCTGTAGTTTAGTGATAGGGTCATTCCCTGGCATGCATGAAGCCCTGGGCTCGATCCTTACTATTGCAAGAATTGCTAGCCAGGTGTGGTCATGTGTGCCTATAATCCCATCCACTTGGGAGGCTGAGGCAGGATGATTTCAAGTTCTGGACCACTTAGACCCTGTCTTAACAAGGGCTGGAGATGTAGCTCAGTGCTTCCTTGGTTTAATCCCCAGTATTACCAAGAACAATAAAAAAAGGAATAAACTGCTATGAGCATTTATGTATTTATCTGCACATGTGTTTATTTTCTCTTGGGCAATACAACATTTATTGCTGGGTTATAAGGACCTTAGTTCATTTAGGAGACTAACAAAATACTATAAACTGTATGGCTTATAAAGGACAGGAATTTATTTCTCACAGCAGTGGAGGCTGGGAGATCCAAGGTACAGGCAGTAGGATCTGGTAAGGGCCCTCTTCCTCCATAGATGAATGTCCTCTGACTAACCTCACATGGTGGTAGGGGTCTAGGGACCTTTCCCTCTTACAGGGGCATAAATTCCATTTCTGAAGGTTCTGCTCACATGGTGTGATTACCTCTCAAAGGCCTCACCTCTTTGTTCTGCCACATTTGGGGTTAGGATTTCAGCATGAATTTGAGGGTTATGTAAATATTCAGTGTATTGTGTGTTTTAACATTATAAAAAACTGTCATGGGTACTGTCTCACCCTCCTGCCACAGTGTGGTGCCATTGTTGCCCAGTCCTGGCCAGCACGTCACATTGTCAGTCTCTTGAAGTTGACCCCATTCTCGCCGATTATGATTTGTACTTGCCTGCTGAATGCTGCACAGCACCTTTTCAAGGGATTATTGCTGTTCTGCATTACCTTTTGTGGCTGCATCTTTTGGTCCATTTTAAATTGGGTTTTCTTACCAACTTGTAAGAATCCTTCCATACTCTAGAGAAAGCCTCTCCAAATGTTTTGTGGGTTTTTTTGTTGTTTGTTTGTTTGGTTTTTGGTTTTTTGAGACTGAACTGGAACTCACTGTATCCCAGGTTGGTCTGGAACTCACAGCGATCCTCCGGCCTCAGCCTCCCAAGTGCTGGAATTACAGATGTGTGCCACCACTCCCGGCTTCCCAAATGTTTATTGTGAATATTTTCTTAGAGCCTTTGGTTTACTTTTTCATTTTCTTACTGATATCTTTTGAAGATCAAATTTAAAAGTTTGTTTTTGTTTGGTGGTGGTGGGGGGTTGAACTCAGGTCCTTAATGCTTGTAAGGCAGGCAACAGAACCACTGAGCTAAATCCCCAGCCCCCAAGATTTAAAAGTTTGAATAAGGCCGCCTTACCAAAATTTTTTACTTTTCTTTTTTCTTTTTTTTTATTTTTTGAGACAGGGTCTCACTATGTAGTTCAGGATGCCCTTAAACTCATTAGTCCAGAATGACCTTGAACTTGTGGTGATCCTCCTGCCTCAGCCTCCCATGTGCCGGGACTACTGGTATGTGTGGCAATCAGAATCTTTTTTTTTTGGTACTGGGGATCGAAGGGTGCTTGCACTTGCGAGGTAAGTGGTAGCACCACTGAGCTAAATCCCCAGCCCTCAAAAATCTTTTATAGTTAGGATTCTTTTTCATGGTACTGGTCATTAAGCCCAGGACCTTCACAATAAGCTACATTCCTAACCTTTTCAAAATTTTTTATTTTGCGATGGGTCTCACAAAATCATTAAACTGTTCAAGTTGAGTTTGAACCTCCTGCCCCAGCTTTCCAGTGTGCTGGGACTACATGCTTGCACCAACATGCCCAGCTTATAGTTAGGATTTTTAAGTTCTGAGAAACATTTGCTTACTCAAAGGACATACATATTATTCCTTTATCCAAACTTTTAGTTTTAGCTTTTATTTTTGTGGGTTTTTTTTGTTTGTTTGTTTGTTTGTTTTTTTGTTTTTTGAGACAGGGTCTCACTATGTAGTTGAGAATGACCTGGAACTCACTATGTAGCCCAGGCTGGTCTCAAACTCAGTGATCCTCCTGTCTCAGCCTCCCAAGTGCTGGGATTAGAGGCATGCACCACCATTCCCGGCTAGTTTTAGCTTTTGTATTTTGGTGTATGATCCATTTTGAGGAGTGTGTGTTTGTGGTGTGCTAATCAAACTCAGGGCCATAGACATACAGTACAAAACAAGTGCTCTGCCACTGAACTACATCCTCAGCCTCTGGTTTGTTTGTTTGTTTTTTAGTGGTGGTAGTGGTAGAAAGATTGAACCCAGGCCAGGCCCTCATACTGAGCTACAGCCTCAACATTTTTTTTGGTACCAGGGATCTCGGGCCCTTGTGCTTGCAAGGCAGGCAGCAGCACCACTGAACCAAATCCCCAGCCCTTTTTAAAAAAATTCAATAAGAGGATTGAGTTCAAGGCCAGCCTGAGCTACATAACTAGACCTGTCTTAAAAATTTCAAAATTAAGAAAGACCAGGGTTTTGTTAACCTGCCCTGGCTGGCCTTGTGATCTTGCCTCAACCTCTCAAGTAGCTGGGATTACAGGCGCACACCACGACACCTGGTTTTGTGTTACTTTTACAACATGCAATGAAGATCAAGATCAGGGCTGGGGATTTAGCTCTTTTCTTCTCTTTCTTTTTTTTTTTTTTTTAACCATTTGTTGGAAGACAATACTTTCTCATTGAATAAACTTCCAAACTTTTGTAAAAACTTAAGTATGGGTGGTTTGTTCCTTTCCTCTTGTCCATGGATTGTCATCCCAGTATGACACTATCATTTTACAATACATGTTGAAATCAGGTATTGGAAGTACTTCAATTTTGTTCTTTTCCAAAATTTTTTACTAGACTAGGTCCTTTACATTTGTGTGTAAGTTTTAGTGTCAGGTTGTCAATTTGTACAAAAAGGAAGCCTGTGTGGGATCTGTAGATCGGTTTGGGTGGAGGAGAAGGGGAAAAAAGTTGAGATGTGTTATTTACATGTACCAGTTCCCCCCAATGAATGTAATTATGTACTGCGGACATGTAATACTAATAAAAATTTAAAAAGAAAAATCTGAAAAATCAGTATTAACATTTTAATAATTCTAAGTTTTCCTTTCTCTGTGTAGTTTTCTCATATTTTGTTAAACTTTTGTATTTCATATTTCTACATTCTATTGCAAATGTACAGCTTTTTAAAATTTTTTAAATTTTTGGTACTGGGGGTTGAGCTTGGGACCTTGCGCTTGCAAGGCAGGTAGCGGAACCACTGAGCCAAATCCCCAGCCCTGTACAGCTTTTTAAAAAGCTATTCAGTTGTGTCTGCTAATGTACAGAAATTCATTAGGTTTGTGTTTTGATCTTATAATCCGCCAACCTAGATCACTTCACATTTTAATAGCTTTTTTCTAAATTACTCATTGTTTTCTGTGTATATAATTATGTCATCTGCCTATTAAGAATCTTCTTTCTTTCCAATATATATTGACTTTTCTTGCCTTATTACATTGACTAGCATATATTTCAGTTGTTTTATTTGTTTTTGCTGGTACTGGGGTCTGAAGCCAGAGCCTTTGCACTGAATTTAATTTCCAGCTGTTTTTGTTTTGTTTTGTTTTTCAGTACTGGGGATCAAACTCAGGACCTTGCACTTGCGATGCAGGTGCAGTTCCACTGAGCAAAATCTCCGGCATGTTGTGTTTTGTTTTTGAGATTTTTTTTGGCGGGGGTACTGGGGATCAAACTCAGGAACTTCTGCTTGTGAGGCATTTGTAGTACAACTGAGCTAAATCCCCAGCTCTTTTGTTTTGTTTTTGAGAAAAGGTCTCATTTAGGCCAGGCCACGATCAAACTTGTGATCCTTCTGCCTCAGGCTCCCAAATGCTGGAATTATAGGCATGTGCCACTGTGCCTATCTTAAAATTTTTGCTAGATGTGGTGAAGTACATTCTTCGTTTGTTTTGTTTTGATACTAGCATAATGTTGCTCTCAAAAACTTTATCCACACTGGAGTTGTGTGTGTAATAATGATGCATTTCTTCCTTAACTATTTGATAAGAGTTCATCAGTGGAACCCTGGGACTTTAATTGTGAGAAGGTTTTTTATTTATTTATTTAGGTTTTGTTTGTTTGTTTTGAGATGGTCTCACTATGTAGTTGAGACCAACCTGGAACTCACTATGTAGCTCATGCTGGTCTCAAACTCACAGTGATCCTCCTGCCTCAGCCTCCCGAGTGCTGGGATTATAGGTGTGCACCACCACACCTGGCCTTATTTTGGTTTTTTGAAACAGGTTCTCACTATGTAGTTAAGACTGACCTGGAACTCACTATGTAGCCCAGGCTTGTCTCAAATTCAGTGATCCTCCTGCCTCAGCCTCCCATGTGCTGGGATTATAGGCGTGCGCCACCACGCCTGGCCACTATTATTTATTTATTTTGGTACTGGGGATCAAACTCAGGACCTTGCACTTGCAAGGCAGGTGGCAGAACCACTGAGCTAAATCCCCAAACCCTGTTTTTTGGTTTTTGAGACAGGGTCTCACTAGCCCACACTAGCCTTCAATTCACTGTGTAGCCCAGGCTGGCCTCAAACTTGGAACAGTCCTTCTGCCTCAGCGCTGGGATTATAGGCATGCGCCACCATGCCTGGCAGGTTTTTTTAAATTGCAGATTTAATTAATTTCACATAAATGAATTATTGGCATGAAGTGTTCAGAACATTAATGTACTGGGGATTGAACCCAGGGCCTTCACATTGAACCATATCCTCAGTCCCCTCACCAATTTTTTTTTGGTACCAGGGATCGAACTCAGGTCCTCGTGCTTGAGAGGCAGGCGTTGGATCACTGAGCCAAATCCCTGGCCCTCACCTCATTTTGAAACAAGAGTCTTCAGTGGCCCAGACTGGGCTCAAACTTGCCATACTCCTGCCTCTGCCTCCTGAGTGCTGGGATTATAGCAAGGTGCCACCATGCCCAGCAAAAAAAGGCATTGCTAAAATAACTACATTTGCTGCCTAGACTTTTCCCACATCCTTATAAAGACCCCTCTCTCCATCCTAATGATCTGATTCCTGTCTTGGAAATTGACCCACTGCCCCTGTTGAATAAACTTATTTTTACTTTTATTCTCACCATGGTAAATGACCACCAAGTCATTGGCCCTTTATACATTG